GAAGTAATCAGTAATTAGTTACTGGTTACTTTTACAAGTAACTTGACCAACACTGCTCAAGACTGTAAGATGAGATTGACCAACCTGAAGGTGCTTTATATTATAAAGTAGAGACTCTAAAACTACATGATCCTATTACCAAGGAGATGGACTGTCCCTGTATGTTCTGCATAGGCCTAATCAGCATCTATGCCCTGCCAGCCGTCAGGTACAGTGCTAGGATAATAAACTTGCCAGAAGAGGAGATAGAAGCCGCTGACATCAAGATAAGAAAGCTCCTTACCATGCATGGAGGGTTTCAACCTAAATTCAACACCCTGAGACTGTATGCTAAGCAGAAGGAAGGAAGGAGGCCAAGGAATAGTGAGTTTTAGAAATGCAATCCAGGAAACAACAGAGATCCACGAGCACATCAGGAAGATGACCACGACTTATCATGGATGCATGTACGTGTAGTACACAGGAACGGTACAGAAAATAAGTATTTTAAAGGCTCTGGAAAGAAAAAGATGAGAGATGTATCTAAAGACCTCAGAACAACTGTCAAGACAGTAGTGAAGGACTTAGCCAAGTGGTGAACTCCTTTTGAAAAAATCCACTTCACACCTTTAAGCCACACTAAAGTCTGCTAAGGACAACCTGCAGCAAAATCGTCCATACTGGAAGCTGTTTGGTCAGATCATACGCAGCTGTGGTTCTTTGGCTTTATGTTTGGTGAAAGAAGGCTGAGGCTTACAAACCAAAGAACATCTAATAATGGAACTTGGTGGTAGGAGTATTATGTTGTGGGGATGGGTCTGATGTCTGGAACTGGGAAACTTGTCAAGATGGAAGGATTAACCCTCAGGGGACAAAAATGTATATAAGTGTATATAAATATAAATTATCAATCAATACACCTGAGTTTTACTTAAGACTAACACATTACCACAAATTGACCCTTCATTTTACAATTTAGGGGCACCAGACCTTGTTTACATAAAGTATCGTCTGTTTTTGAGCGAAAATAAAACGAGACAATAAAATATTTAAATGTTTAGATTATTTTGACTGTCTGAATAACCACAGAGTGCTGTATGTTGAACTTTAGTGAGAATGTTTTTTTTAATCATTTATAAATTTTAAATGGCAGCACATAATCACAGCTGTTGTCTTCAGGGGTCAAAATGTCCCCATCTGCTTTGATTGATACTTAATTAATATGAAGTAGATTTTCCCCCACTTTTAATTAAAACTTAATTCAAACATTTTGACACTATTCCTTTATTTCATTTCAAATATATATCTGATAAAACCTTATTTATACAAAATGATTCTTTGTTTTTGGGTAAAAAAATAAATGAAATCATCAGTTA